CCCTACACTTTTTATTTCATATATCATAAGGCTGGTGATGTGAGGTGATGGTGCTCTAGGAGTATTGTTCTTGTCTCTTCCAGGAGTATTGTTCTTGTCTCTTCCACTCCTTTTCTACACTATTTCTGTCTCTTCTCCCATTTTCTCTCACTGTTTGTGACATTCTTCCTTCACATAATTCTGTATGGTTTGGGTTTTTTCTGTGTCTACTTCTGGAGTTCATCAGTACTCCAGTTTAAAATCTGGAGCCTTTTTTGATATATAATATACACCATGGTTGCCTGATTTTCTTTTGACGGCTTATAAATCTGCTTCGATATTAGCAGATGATGTAGTTCGATAGGAGTAGATTTACAGGGCAAATCAATTAGTGCTGAGGACCCAACATCCTCATTATTTATGTTTCGGGGACCTTTAACTCACACTAGGCCTGGTCTGGCCCCATGGACTGAATGCCCATTAGCAGCAGGAGTACCTGAGGTGTGAGACAATCTTCTGGTGCAGGTTCATCTGAAAGAAATTGAGTTCATGTATTCTTGAGACCACTCCACAATGTGAACCAAGAAATTTCAACTGGGGACAACAAGGTGGTTTGCTTCAAAACCATGCTCTGGATCTGAACTCAAAGACTAATATAGACATAGAACACAATTCAGCAAAACACTCTAAATTTGTTTCTAATTTTGCAGGCTCAAGATTCTGATATTTTCCTTGTTTCTTTCATGCATTATTCACTTTCTTCAGCTCGTGTATGTAGTTATCCAGTGACGTTTTCTTGAAGCCATTCACAAATGTACACCATAGGCAAAAGATATTACTGTTCTGATTTGCTGTCCCCTTTCATTTGCTTCTTGCCTTTATAAAGGATAGCAGGATATCATGAAATCGTGAAATCCACTTGGGAGGAGAGAAGTCCCTGGTCATTCAAGTATTTATGTGTTTCTTGTAGCTGAGGTTAATTCAGCAGAATATGGGAGACCTTGTCCTCTTCTTAGCTAAGTACAGTGACAGACTGCTTTGAGAGAGAATAAGAAGTCATTTGGGACTTCATATTTCAGTATACTAATTCCTGTGAAATGGCTGTGATATTTTTTCTGTGTGGTTAGCTGTTATTTTTTTTAAGCTTTGTATTATTTTATAGAACTTTGTAAAAACTGTTTTCTTTCCCTCATTGGGAATCGTTTTTCTTTGTTACTAGGATGTTATGGCTTCAATAGTGAAATGTTAGAACATTGCTCATTTTGATAACGATAAACACTTCACAATTTGCTATGAGACCTGTTATTTTTAATCTTCTCCACAACAGCAAAATTAAGACTATAAAAAGAAATGACCAATGTTGACATATACAGCTCAAAAGAAGAATGTATGAAATTTTTTTTTTTTAAAGGTGAAGACTAAAGTCTCTGTATTTTGGCAGTCAGCAGCGACGATCTGTCTTCTCTTCTATAAACAAACAGAAACACATTTGATAACTAGTTTTAGAGATCATCACCATCAATTGTAGATTTCCAGGAAGAATTCAGTTTATTGTTGCTTTTTTAATTAGCTGAACTGTGTAATGCTGATATTAAAACCATTGAAAGCAGGCTTCTCAATGCTGCACAAACGAAAGCAATCCAGTATCTCATTTACATTCCTCTCCTGGTGTCTGCAGCAGATCTATAAATAGAATAGGCTACACACAGAAATTTATTATTGCAGCTGACAGCAATTTTCTTTTGCAAAGGTGTCTGGAGGCATTATTCATGAGATTCATTCTGGTAGACTCTCCAGCTGAGATCCGCGCTCCCCAGAACTGCGGGTGGTCAGTTTAGAAACACACTAATCAACTGCTGTGCACAAAGACTGTCACAAGACTTACTTATTTCCCTCTTTTAAAAATTACAGGAGTTCTCTCAGCTCCAGATTATTTTCTCTAACCTGATTGCATCGATATTGTAAGCAGTGAACAGATTTTTTAGAAATCTCATGTATTTGACATTTTATCACTGAACATCCTAATGATTATGCAGTTATCTGGAAAAACATAATGACTGTGGTTTGATACAGGTCACATCATGTCTTCTGCATTCATACCCACAGGCACATGTGACCTTATCAAGTATAAGACAGACATGTTTCTGTTCAATACCAAGGATGTGTAGTAATCACATGAACTGACCTATCTAGCTGTCATCTAATTTCAGTCATAAAACAAAAGGAAAAATCAAATAAGACCTTTAATGAAATTATATTTATAATAAGTGATAGATGGGAATGTCTTACACTCCTGCTTTTCCTATCTGATTTTGTTTTTTTTACCAAATCTGCCATTATGCTATCTCTGTGTCCTAAAAAAAAAGACAATTCATACAGACAGAATATGCACATTTCTAAATGTTTGTTTTTATCACCCCTCAAGACTGATTACAACTTATTTTTTCCCTTGCCTATTCTAATATTCTTTCTACAACTGAGAACATAAGATGTATGAAAGCAGAGATATTACCTGTTTATTCTGGTTCAATTTCAATATAATCATTACTGTAAGTATTCATATTTCAGGGTTTTTTTACATCCTGCTGTGTTGTCACAAGCTATATGGAATACCTGAATGTACAAATGATGTTTCCATTTGCAAAGTAAGCTAGCTAGTAACTTTACTTTTTTTTTTTTCACTTTCTTTCCTTTTTTCGACCTAATAGAAGAGCTGTTTTATTGTAGCAGTTATTTTGACTATGCTATGAAAGCACCAGCACAAATAACTAGTGAGACATTAGAAAAGTCACATATCTTACCAGGAAAGGAAAGATAAATTAAAATATAAAATTAAACCCAAAACAACCTCTCAACTCAAGTCACCCATAAAGCATTCTGGCATCTCTAATGCCAGGTACACAAGCAAAAAAAAAAAAAGTTAAGAGAGTAAAAACAAAGAAATATATTGCAACCATAAGTCAAATATCACTGATTTTCTGTGAGTGTAAAACCCATCCTGTTTTTTTAAGTGTGTTTTGGTACTTATACATTTTTTTCTGTTTTTAATTTAAATTTGTCAGTGATGCAGAAAATTGGTTTTGTGAATGCCCTAAACTCTACTCTGGAAAACTCTGCCAGTTTGCGACTTGTGATGAAAATCCATGTGGAAACGGTGCTACGTGTTTTCCAAAGTCCAGACGAGATGCTGTTTGCCTTTGTCCATACGGAAGATCTGGCATCCTCTGCAGTGATGGTAAGAACCATATTCTTCCTGCATTGGTCATAGTTTTTTATCATTCATAGAAGTTGTGGTAAGAAACAAGTCAAATGCTTTGAAGGCAAAACACTGAAAATGACAACCTCCTCACCTACAAACACAGCCCAAAATCCAGTCACAAGCAAAGAATGTCTGAGCTGAACAACCTCCTCGTGTGTTGTTTCATAAAGGTGTCGGCCAGAGAAAGGGAGACAGAGGGATCAAAGAAGCTGAGAGCAGACAAGCTAGGAAATACCAGGTAGTGTCTGATGTTTTAGTAATTTACCTGGAGAAAAGCTGAGGGATTTGACTGAGATTTTTCCTCTACTTAGGGAAGCATTACTTTGTACATTTTGTAAATAAGAGGAGTGTATAAACAATACTTCCTGGATTGTAAAAATACCACCAGGTGCTAAATTTGATTCATTTCTCAGGTCAAAAAGAGGAACAAATTAAAATTTACTAAGTGCTTTGCAATGAAGCAGGAGACAGGATGAAGGGAAATTAATAAAGCTAAGTAAATAGGTCATTTTGACTAATATTCTCAAATGAAGGGCTTTTATTCCTCAAGCATTGATTATAATGATTGTTCTAGGTCAGAAATTCCTGTGTGTGAATATCCAAGGGATTCTTTTCCCCTAACACTCAATGTAGCAAAAAGTAATGATTGAAAAATCTGCGTATAGAAAATGATCACTGGTTCTGAGCTGATTCAGCAATGCATATGAAGTGCCTTTTAAAATAAATATTAACCAATGTTCAGGTTGGATCAAAGTCTACATTGTCTTTTTCTTCATATCATATACATCTTTACCTCTTATTTAAAATTTTAATTTCCAAAATTTTCAGTAGATGGACATTTATGTTTGATCCATGTTTTCATCTAATCCTAATAATTGATAGCCAATAGCAAATATATAGGCAAGTGTATGAAACATGTATGATGCTTCCTTGGTAATCTTTCTTAACTTACAGTAGCACAAGACATTGGGGCTTCATGTGCTGGAGCTGGTATCTGGGCTAGCCCTTGACAGATTTCTTTTCTTCCACGCACTTCTCTAATTGGTCCTTGAGTCCATGTAAACTTGATACACAGCATCCTGTGGCAAAGAGCTCCGGAGCTTAAGCATATAGCTTGCGCAGAAGTACTTCCATTTGTTTGCTTAACTGCGCCGATTGCTAATGACATTAATGCCTCAAGCTTCTGTTTGAGTGGATGTGTCAGAGTTGTTCCCTGGTTTATGAGTGTTTCCCTGTTCCCCTTCTCCATGCCTCTCCTGATTTTATCTATATACTTATTATAACCCTCTCAAAATTATTTCTGAATAGTCCAAGTTGATTCAGTCATTTTGGGGACAGCAGCCATGCTATATCTTTAGTCATCCAGGCTGCTTTTCTTTGTTCCTTCTCTCAGTTCCACTGCATCATCTTTAAAATGAGGGTCCAGAGCTGACTGCAATATTCAAGGTGTGATAATGCCACTGCTTTGTACAGTGGTGTTTCATATTTTTTTGGTTTACTCTCTGTCCTTTTCTTAACCATTTCTTCCATTTTATTTCCTTTTGTGCGTACACTGACGTTTTCATGGAACTGCTTATTAAAACTCCTAATACCTCTTTCTTTGAATGCTGATGGCAAGTTCAGAGCCCACCATTCTGTATCTAAGGCTCGGACTGTTCCTGTAGTCTACCTCAATTTACATCTGTCAACACTGAGTGTCATCTAATGCTTTTTCCCTGTAGTCGTTCAATGAGACTCTTCCACAACTTTTTGTAGTTAGCTGTCTCTAAATTGAGAGTCTGAGTAAAAATTGAGACAGCCTAAATTGAGAGAAAATACACAAATTAGTTAGTTTGATTAGACTACAGAGCTGAAAGTTTTGAAAGCACAGAAAGAATGAGAATTTATTGAGTGGAAAGGGAAATCTCTGTCTGGATCATCACTGTAAGCAAGCAAAACAGGGAAGAACACCCAGCTTCGTAGGACAGAGTATAAATTTAGGGTCAATAAGCCCACAACATAAAAAATTTTTGAAATATGAAAATATTTTATTGAACTGTGTCTTAAAGAGTTTAGAAGGAATAGAAATAAACTGAGGACACACAGAAATCTTTTTAAGCTGGACTTTGCATCGAAACTTAAAATGAGCTGCAAAAGGCCTTTTTATCACATACATTAAAACTGAACAAAGAGGGAGAAACAGAGCCACAATGCAGTGAAGGCTGGGTGCAGCCTTAGGGATAGCCCTTGCAGCATCAAAGCCACACATTTGGTGAGGTATTTGAAGATAATGATAGATTGCCTAATTACAATGGTAGAACTATGTAAATTATATTAGAAACAGAAGACAAATTTAATTGTTTACTATAACAAAATGAGTGGCCTAGATAATAAATTTATTAGAAAGATATGGTCCATAAAGTTTAAAGTCTAGGCGCACACATTTTTAACGAATCACCTCCTGTTTAAGATACACAATAATATTGTCTCTACTATTAAGATTAGTAACCAAGTGTATGCTACTTTGTGTCTGAAACACTGAAGAACAGCTTGTTTTTCGTAGATGCTGATCAAGTAATAGTTGGTCTTCATCAACAAGAAATGTGCAAGATGTTACAATGATTATTTGATAAAATGAGTATAGCAAATGTACCAAATAGAAGTGCAGATTTCATGCCAGCATTGCTGCTCCTACCAATAGAGATTATTTACAAAAGGCAAAGTAAGGATAAAGAAAGATGCGGACAGAGCCACAAATGTCCCCACTACTACAAGTCTGGCCCATATCAGAGCTCCAGCTGCCCTCTATTAAGAGTTAGAAGTCACACTAAGAACAATATCAATCTCTACAAATATGTAAGAAAAAGTGATAATAAAACTATTGTCACTATTAAATGGAGGGGGAGGGGGGGAGGAGGGACACGACCAAAACGCGTGGCATGACAAGTTAAAAATGCATCATTTTATGGGGAATGCACAACATTTTAAAAGTGAGAAAAATATAGGGCTACCGTAAATATGACAAATCAGGCAAAAATTTAAGGACAGGTAGTAACTTCTATTAGACAAATCCATATAAATATGGAAAACCAGACAAACTCCTGGGGTTAACAAGGACTTTTCTTCCATTTCTGAAGCAGATGGAGCATACTGCAGTCTAAGCAGGCTGGGAACAATTGCTCTGAGTTTATCTTAGTTATGTTATGCTTGTTTCAGGCATCAAGAAAAGCTTCCTAAAAGCATGTCCATTTTTCCAAATATATATAGTAAAATGCATTATCTCTCACTAGACATCTTTCCTTGCTTTTATCACTAGATGACAGTGTTATTATGACTTTAAGTTGACCATTATATATTGAAATCTCTCTCAAGAAGCTACATAGCTAAGGCATAATGGGCCAACAGTGATGCAGGATGATAATATAAGTTAGAAGAGAGGACAGGCTGCACTGATCAGGTGAAGGACACAGCCAGACAAGCGTACTGACCAGCCAACTATTTACATGTAACTGGCCCATTTGATCTCTGTATCCCTCTATTTTTCCACACTTATTCCTCCCCAAATCACCTAATTCCCTTCTTCTCCCCCGCTTTGGTTCCTCCCTTAAATATCCATAACTCCTGTGGTATTCCAAACTGTTCTTCACATGCATCCCGTAATGTGTCCGATACCCCATGGCAGTTACACCGCTCTGTCCAAAAGGTGCTCCAGCATTGTCTCGTCATGGTGGGTGTCACACCTGGACACTAGGGCTGAGGGTCTTCTGGGACAGCCCTGGGAGAGGCCCGGACAGGGTGTCCCTTCCTCTGAATCCCTAATTTGGGTTCCCGCCTACCTATGGACTCTGTGCTCCACTGGGATTGTGGGAATGGACCTGTGGTGGCCTGATGACTCCTAGGACAGGGGTGGGAATAGCTGGGGCAGGGTATTGACTGAGTTCCCCCACTTCCCATTGTCTCTCTGTGCTGCTTTGTGGGTGTGTGGGCAAGCATTTACACATAACCAAACACTGTTGATTTGAGGAGTTAAATGCCCCCATGACTTTCAACTCAGGGGGGTGGAGTTGCCTGAAACAAGAATTTAGTCACTTACTAAAATAGAAAACAGGAAACATTTAGCAATGCACATCATCAGTATGCAACAATTTGGAACAGAGACTATGTCTACACGGGCAGCTTGACTCAATCTCCCTTTTGACTTTGGTTCTTTAAGCTGTACATGAAGGGATCTATATCACTTCAACTGAGTCTAGTTACTGAGCTCTGGCTTTTCAGTAGTTTTGTGTGAAAGCAGCCAACATTCAAGCCCTAGTCTGATAAATTTCCTTTCACATTTAATTTAGTAAAAAGTTGCTTGCATTGTGTTTCTTGCAGATTGTAAATCTCCAATATTTAGGATCACACTGGTGAATGAAAACGTTTACAAGTAGCACCATTTCAGACCAAATGAATACACATTCTCCAACGGTGCATTTTTCTGTAAAATGCTTTTTAAAATACTTCCTATATATTTGATTTTTCTGCTATTAAAAGTTGGTCAGGAAGACGTATCAACAACTTGTTATGCAAGTGATGATTAGGTTAGCACTAGAACTGCCTGTCATCCACGGAGATTTGTCATTTCATAGGATCTAGGACTTAAATGAAAATCTGTGGTGCTTTCTCGATCCAAAGAGAAAGCTTGAGCTCAGACAGTTAGAGAGATGCCCATATCACCATACTTCAACTCTTTTAAAATGAAGGAGAACTCTAATTATAATGATTTGAATATAAATGTTGCCAAATCACTGTTGTTAACATGAAATAAAAGTCAAATACTTTTAATGAGCCTAAATGATATAGAAATACTATTGTTGTATCTCACCAAAATAAGCAGAGTTTAGGACGCTGTTCTTGTACCTCAAAAAAAAAAAAAAAAAGAAAAAGAATTATTCAATTGCTACCATCCTTGTAATCAGCCTTTATTTCTTTTTTCTATTTTTTTTAACACTTTCATC